AAATTCATATGTGTATCCCTGATATATACTCTTAACTCCAGTCCTATATTACCAACTGGTGGGGGGAGGGGGGAGAGATATCATATCTCATAGGCATCTCAAAGTCAGCATGCACCAAACAGAGCTCATTGTACTTAATCCCAAACCCATCCCTCTTCTAAAATTTCTTTGGAAAGCAATGTCATGCTCAAAAGAGAAATAGGACACATAGATATAATAGCAGCTTTTTGTGTGTAATGGCAAAGAACTGGAAACTGAGGGATGCCTATCATTTGGGAAATGGCTGAATAGGTTATGGCATATGAATATAATGAAATACTAAAGCACTGTAAGGAATAATGAAGGCAAAGAGAAACATGTCAGAGAAACCTGGGAATATTTTTATGAACTGATATAGAGTGAAGTGAGCAGAATCAAGAAAACAATGTATACAATAACAACAGTATTGTAAAGATTTAAGAACTCAAATCAATGTAACAACCAACCAAGGTTCCAGAGGACTCATAATGAAATGTACTGCCCACCTCCTGATAGAGAGGTGATAAACTCAGGATGCAGAAAGAGGTGGGGAGGGGGGAGTGATGCATGTATGTGTATACATCATGCACACACATACATACATACATACACATACACACACACACGTATATATATATTTTGTTTGACTCTTCCTGTTATTAAAAGGAAAAAAAGGTGTCATCCTTCCAGTTGTCGAGTTCGTAATCTCAGGTTTTTCTCCCCAAGCAGCCCTCCCAAATGTAATCAGTTGCCCTGTCACATCAAATCTACTTCCACATCTCTTACATCCAATTCATAATCTATACTCATACAGCTACTACTCTTGTTCAGTCCCTTATAACTTCTTACCCAAATTATTATAATAGCCTCATTATTGATCCCCTTCAAATTTCTCCTTCTCTCCAATACATCTACCTGTTGCCAAATTAATATTTTTAAGTCACAGTTCTGACTGTGTCACTTCTCTACTCAAAAATTTTAAAATGTCTCATTATCTCTAGGATAAATTATAAATTTCTTAGCCTAGAACTTAAAGCCCACCACAATCTGACTGCACTTACCTTTTTTGGCTTATTTTATATTATTCGATGACATGCTAGCTCCTATTCCCATTACTACGATGATGCTATACCTCTACCTCTTAGAATTCCTAGATTCCTTCAAGGTCCAGCCCAGGTGCTCTTTCCTACAAGATGTCTTTTCTGATCTCCTTAGTAGTTAGTAATGCTCACTCCCTACTGAAAGGACGTCTTTATATTTACTTATCTGGGTGTATGTTCTATTTCCCCAGTAAATTATAGGCTTTTTCAGGCAGGAACTCTTTTGATTTTGTCTTTGTATCTTCAGCACCAGGGCTTTATAGGTAGAAGGCACTTAAATATGTGTTTGAATGTATTAAACATCTTCTATAACAAACAAGACAGGATTGTAAGTTTAGCACTGGAAGCAGGCTTAGAAGCCATTTATCCAACTCCTTCAACTTAGAAATACAGTCACTAAGGTCCAGAGAGGGGAAGTAACCTGTGTGAGATCACATCATCACAAGAAGAACCACAATTTGAATCTTCTAAGATTGTCTCCACTTTATCCAGTGTATATTTTATTTGTGCATATCCTTACGGTCTCCATGTTGGACTATGAGCTATTTAAGGGCAGACACTGGGCTTCTGCCTTTCTTTGTATCCCCAGTGTTTAGTATAAAGCCTTGCACGTAGTAGGAACTTATTAAATGTTTGTTGACTTGATCCAGGTCTTCTGACTCCATATCTAGCACTCTTTCCACTATACCACAGTCACATGAGCAACTAAAATGTAAAAAGAATATAAGATTCCACTGGATTTATTATTTCATGATTACAAAAAAGCATTTGACTTAGAGCCTTATCCTCTACCTTCCGCTGTGGTGCCATTGGGGCTAGAAGAACACCGCCCATTAGCCATTCCACTACCTCATGACTGTGGTTCTTAACAAGGGTCACAACACATCTAAGAAAACATGATGAAGCATAGTAAACAGTGGACCAAATATACCAATTTTGTGAGAGACATATCTGATAGATATGTGGGTTGGGCCCCTTATAAGAGGCAAGGCATGGAATTGTTCAAGGTCTCTAAGGATGAAGAGGGTTCGGATTTCATTTTTTTAAATTCACATTTGGTTCGAGAGTGAGAGTGAGGAATTTGGCAATGTCCTAGCATTGTGGTGAAAGTTGCTGCCAAAAATGATTAAATTTACACCAAGGTACCTAATAAACAGTTGACAAAGGACAAAAAATAAAATCTATCCTCCAACAAGTTGTCTTCCATGTAAATGATAAAAATCTTGAGGTTTGATAACTGTAACAGTAGAAGGAGCTTTGCTGAATTATCTTCTGATTTATCTCTGATAAATGAACTGTATAGCAACAATATACAAGGTGTCATTAAAACCTTTGGGACACCATAGGTGTGTATTCACCATTGAAGATTTCTTGTACTGATTTTGAATGGAAGAGAGGAATTGGATTCACTGGAGAGCTGGGGTTCTTAACCTTTTCTGTGTCATGTACCCTTTGACAGTCTGGTAAAGCCTGTGGACCTGTTCTCAGAAAAAATGTTTTCTTTCAAAATTCTTAATTGTAGGAAGTACTAGATTTCAGTCACTGGTGAGTAAAAGTAAATTTTTTCCCATACAAATTAGCAAACCTCCTGAAATCTGTCCAGTATGCTAGGTTATTCATCCCTGTCATAGATGTTAAGGAGTACTGGGTGCTTCTTTTTGATCATGTTCTGGTTGCTTCAGGATCCAGAATATTGGATTGGCACAGCAGATGCACAGTAATCTAGAAAAAGGAAACAGGTTGGTTTGCATTTAGGAGATTGAATAGCACTTTAGTGTCACCAGTATTGCTCCTGACACATGTGCATCTTAACACCAATATTCTTATACTACTGTATGCTTAAGAATCACGGATACCATGAATGTAGAAAGAACTAAAGTTGTAGGTGATCCAACAGGCCAAGGGAGAAAACTTGTGTTATCAAAAAATGAGTTGTATGCAAATGATGTAAAAACAAATCTGTACTAGCACAAGGAGATGGGCGGACCATCTGTGAAAGATTTATAGGGAGGTACAAAGAAGAACCACACAAAATAATTAGGTGTGAATTAGTGGTGAACTACATTGATTAAAGGAGTACCCACATAGTAACTTCTGTCAAAGGCTCATATAATTGCATGAAGGAAAGATGCATTATTCTGCCTGCATATCTCACCAGCTCCCTGTAAATAATATTCAGAAGAAAACCCTCTCCCTTTTTTGAAATAATATTTTATTCCCCAATTACATATAAAAATAATTTAAAAAATTTTTTTTAAGTTTTGAGTTCCATTTTATACCCCTCTTTCTCTTCATTCCCCCTTCCCTGAAATGGTAAGCAATCTGATATAGGTTATACATGTGCAGTCATGTAAAATATATTTCCATGTTAGTCATTTTGTGGAAGCAAACTTGAACTAAAAAAAAAAGTAAGAAAGTAAAAAAATAGTATGCTTCACGCTGTATTCAGACACCATCAATTCTTTCTCTGGAGGCAGATAGCATTTTTCATCATGAATCCTTTGGGATTATCTTGGATCATAGTATTGCTGAGAATAGCTAAGTCCTTCACGGTTGTTCATTGTACAATATTGTTACCATGTGCAATATTCTGGTTGTGTTCACTCTATATCAGTTCATGTAAGTCTTTCCAGGTTTTTCTGAAATCATCCTGCTCATCATTTCTTATAGCTCAGTAGTAGTCCATTACAGTCATATACCACAGCTTGTTCAGCCATTCCCCAACTGCTTGGCATCCCAGACCCTCTCTTTTGTAATGAGTATAGCTATTTTATTTCAGCTCCAGTCCATACTAGGGTTTGACTTCAGACAAAAGTGTGTTTAGGAACACAAGTTCATCTGACCCATCCTCAGGCTCCCCCTTCTCATCTCAAAACCCCTTGACATCATCCCATACTCTCACCTCCTTTCCTCCAGTTTCTGATAACAAGGTGGCCCTGACATTTTCTCCAGCAGACTGCCCACCCAATAATCCCTTTACTCTCTAATATTTAACCTCTTCATACTTATTGGTTCTTTCCCTACTACTACCACCAGCCATACCCAAAGACTCCTCCTTCCTTTAGCCTTCACTATACCCTGCCATTTCCTCACTATATTGTTCTGTTATTCAGCCAAGCTCACTTAGCCTCATATTTCCATGGATTTAATCGCCATCTTTATGCAGATGACTCATATCTGTATGTTCAACCCCAGTCTCTTCCCTGATCTTTAGTTCCATATCAGCATTGAGTGGTGCCTGTTGGACATTTCAGACTGAATACTACAGAGGCATCTAAAACTCATCTTGTCTAAAACAGAACTTGGCATCTTTGTTGTCAGACCTAGCCTTCTTCCAGACTTCCCTACTTCTGCCAAAAGCTCCATCACTTTTCTGATTTCCCAAGTGCATAAATTTACTATGACCCTCTCTTCGTCCCATATCCATTTGGTTGCCAAATCTTGTTGTTTATACCTTTATAACATCTGTTGCATTTTATCCTTTCTTTTGGCTCACACAATCTTATGTCAGGCTTTTATCACCTAGATTATTACAACAGCTTCCCTACCTCCATTGTCTCCCCACTCTGAAACCCTGTTGACTTCTTGTTTCTCTAGAGTAAATTATAAACACTTCTATTTGGCCTTTAAAGCCCCTCACAATTTCCCCCAACCTATCCTTTTATCGTACATATAGCTTGTTTTTTACATAGTTGTTTGCATGTCTCCCTTGTGAGACTGAGAGCTGCGTGTGGGTAGGGACTTTATTGCCTTTCATTGTATCCCCAGCACTTTGCGTAGTGCCAGACACATTATAAGTGCTAGTTTGCTGACAGACTGCTATTTATCGATTGTAATTTAAATGTCCAATGAATAAATTGCCATTTCAATGCTCTTTTGCAGCCTCATGTGTGAAAAACGAATTTTTGAAACTGTGAATAGTGTAAGGCATCCCTTTTTGGTGAACCTTTTTGCTTGTTTCCAAACCAAAGAGCATGTTTGCTTTGTAATGGAATATGCTGCCGGTGGGGACCTAATGATGCACATTCATACTGATGTCTTTTCTGAACCAAGAGCTGTGTAAGTATGCTTTTAGACTTTCTGTGCTTTTTATAAGTATTTTTCTTCCAAAAACATGAACATTAAATTATGATTTCTTCCTGAAGGGTAGATCTATGTAGTTAATAATAAAGCTGTTCTCCTTATTCTTTATCTAAGCTAATATCCCACTGTTCATGTACTTCTTATTCTGTTATTCATAGTAATAAGAAAGTACTAGCATGAATTACCCCAAATAACAAAGGACATTTTTGCCTGACTTTGCTTATTGATTTATGTAGCTCAAACAAATGAGCCTTACAGGGTTTCATTTCCTGCCTACCCAGTGGAAAAACTGCTGGTTTGTAAGTCATAAGATCTAGGTTTGAATTCTGGGTCTGATATCCTTGGTGACATTAGACAAATCACTTTCTCAGTGTCCACCACCCACCCCTGATCATTCGTTTTTTTCTCCCGTCTTCCATCACCTTTAAAGGTCACTTCTTCCTTTAAATTACCGTGATTTGTTATATGTAATGCTGTTTTCCAGTGGAAGTACTAATGGCAATGAGAAAGCTGCCTCCTGAGTGGGTTAGAAGTACCAGTCCTTTATTTCAATTTAGCAGAGTCCGTACTGTATGATTGGTACTTGGTTAGGTGCTATGGGTTGTAGAAAAGAAACAGTGCAGACCCCGTACCCCCAAAGAGTTAACCTTGTTAGGAAGACAGATGTGTACAATTGGAATTGAGAAAAATATAAATATATGATAAAGTATTAAATTATTGAAGCTGCATGTTACAGTTTATAGAGTAGTAGACTTAAAGTCAGAAGGAAATGGTTCAAACCCCACTTCTGACACAGTAATAATTAGAATGCTTTAAGGTTTGCAGAGTACTTCACAAATGTTATTTCCTCTGATCCTCACAACAACCCTGAAAGGTAGGTGCTACAATAGTAGCATTTTATAGGTGAGGAATAGAGGTTAAGTGACTTGCCCAGGGTCACACAGCTACTAAGTGTCTGAGAACAGATTTGAACTCAGGACCACCTGAATCTAGGTCCAGTAATATGAGCAAGTCAGATACCCTCTATGAGCCTCAAGCAGCTCTATAAATAAATTATACAAGGATTTTTATTTCCATACCAGGAGTTACCACACCAACAAAATCATTGGTCCTTGACCCTGATGTTGTTATTCGGTCTTTTTTCAATCATGTCTGATGCTCCCTGACCGCATTTGAGATTTTCTTGGGAAAGATACTGGGGTGGTTTGCCATTTCATTCTCCAGCTCATTTTACAGATGAGGAAACAGGTGAACAAGATTAAGTGACTTGCTCAGGGTCATGTAGCTTTCTGATTATCTGAGACTAGATTTGAACTCAGGTCTTCCTGACTCCAGGCCCAGCGCTGTATGCACTGTACCTCCTAGCTTTCATTATGTACGAGTCTGATGTAACTGCACTATAAAACCCATGAGGGCAATATCTTGTTTTTCATTTCCCCCAACTTCTAGCACAATGCTGTGCACACAGACACTTAATATTTAGTCATTGAATTAAAGGTAATTTGGTTACATAGAACTGGTGTAAAATGTGAAGAGATTTCAAAAATTGTGTTAGGAAAAGTCTTTCTAAATCCTCAAAATGGTAAGTTAACGAAGAGATTAAAGTTAAAATGTCTTCAAACCCTGCAGTTTTTCATCTGTCTTCTGGAGTTTCCTTTTTTCTTGAACTTCTGCCATTTCATTTAAAGCTTTGCCAGGTAGCTATATAAAATCTGTCTGAATATAAAGTATATATAAATACATTTTGAAAATTCTCCAGTCTGTCTACCAATTGTCTGCTCTTCACTGAAAGCTAAAAGATTTAGTGTCTTCAAAGCAGAATGTTATAAATCAAAACCAAAAATCTGTGAAATGTGTTAAATCTGTTTTGCTTTAATTCTTTAAACAGATTTTATGCTGCATGTGTAGTTCTTGGATTGCAATATTTACATGAGCACAAAATTGTTTATAGGTAAGTAAATTTTATGTTCCCGGGATGGGTTTGAACAGGAAGTTAAAGCTAGTTAGACTTTTCATATTTTTATGGTATTTAGTATATGATTTATGCAAATGTGTATGTTAGCCCTTCCAAGGAGCTAATACAGCACTTCAAAATGAAGATGGCAAGTTTTTCTTGAAAATAACATTTTTTTCCCCTGATGTTTTTCTTTCTTCCTAATTAAAAGAGCTCAGGATAGTTCAACCCAGACTGTCACAAATGTAGATTGTGCTTGATATTTCCCTTTCAAATAAGGTATTAAAGTAAACTTGCCTAGACCAAGGTAGAGAAAGACCAATAAAATTTATGGAGTAGCTCATTTACATTAAGAATCTCACTCCTTTCAAATAAATCCATAATTCAAACTAAGTGCCAAGGAGGTATTCCTAAATAGAGAGTCTGGACCTAGATAAGAATCAGTTTATGATTAGCATCAATAAAAGGACTGTGGTAATATCCTTGTAAAACATATGTTCTCTCAAGTAGCTAAAAGATGCTTTCCACACCTTAGACTACTTATTAACTTGGCAAATCCTTCCTTCCTACATAATGCAAAGTTAAACTTTGCTCAGGTTGAAGTCACAAATTCTAAATGAAAGAAGGCAGATTTTGATGAGGTTTTATGGCACTGGGGTTCCTTATTTTAATTTTGTTTTCTTAAGTGATAAAACCCTCCTTCCTTGAGTGTGGTCTTTTTTTCCTACCATAACAGGAAAAACTGAATTCTCATTTATCATATTTGCAAGCAAAGCAGTACGTATTGCCAAAAGGAGATGAAAAAAATAAAAATCTTCAATAGAGGATTTAAACCCTAAATCAGAACTTGGAAAACCTATACTTGATAAAGAGGATATTTGGCCATTTATTAGTGAAGGAATTTATTTTTTAAACCAGATTATATATTCATTTCATTACATTAATTTTAATTTCTTTTCATTTCTTTTTTTCCCCACATAGAGATTTGAAGTTAGATAACTTGTTGCTAGATACAGAGGGCTTTGTGAAAATTGCTGATTTTGGTCTTTGCAAAGAAGGTAATTTACTTTTATTGAAGTTATTTTTCAAAGCCTCATTGTTCCTTTGTATTTTGGTAGTTACCAATATTGCTTGTGAAAGGGAAGGTATGTTTCAGGTACTTACTTTTTTCTCTATTAAAAATCCTTTGAATTGTCCACATATTTTAATTATCATATTATTATGAATTTCACAAAAGTTCAGAGATGAAAGGGACTTGAAGGGTAATCAGATCCAATCCTCCACATCTGAATACTGGAAGATTTGGAAAGAGGTTGAATGATTTGTTCAGTGTCATAGGGGCCAAGCCTTATCTGAAATACGGGTTTCTTATTCCTATTTCAGTATTCCTTCAGCTCCATGATGACTCCTTAATGTCTTACATTGACATGATTGAACACTTGAATTTGCTGGATATCATCATGGGAGACGAGCATTCTCTTCATACGCTAATTGTCTTTATAGAAAAGCGCCAATAAGCTAATTGATCCTGTCCCTGTTAAGCATTGTACAAAAAGCATTATGAAGGCTCAGTACCTTACTTAGAGATACATAAAAATCAGTTTCTTCTAAATTCACTAATTCAGTGAATCTCTGATCTTATCAATGTGGGTACTGCTTCCATTAGTGTAATTTGCAGTCTCTTCATACTTTCTCATTCCTTCTATATTTTTGTTTGTGTTTTCCACAGATTTTCTTCAGTGTCTACTTAACGTACTAGAATCCTTCCTTTAAATCTTTGTACATTTTATGGATACAAGTAGAAAACTAGCTGTTCATCTGCTCTCTTTTGTTCTTGCCACATGACTAGCCTCTTTCATTTTCCTGTCATCCATTTCCTCAATGTTATCTCTTCCTTGTGAACTTATATGGTCATCTTTGGAAACACACCATAGCCTATTTATCGGCATTATGCATCTCTCCATGGTACTTCGCTTTACACAAAGTTTGATTCTTCCGTGATTGAGCATTCCTAAATTCACAAACATATGACATTGTCAGGAAAGCATTTCTGTTGGGGAAAAAAAAAATGGGCCTTTGTGCTAGGCAGTAGCCTAGGGTTGTTAAAACTAGGAGATTGATAGATAGCTACATAGAGAAATGGTTTATTAAATGTTTCCTGTATGCTAGGCACTGGCATTAAGCACTGAGGATAGAAATATAAGCAAACATGACAGTCTCCACCCTTAAGAAACTTCTAATTGAGAAAAACATTACATAAACAGGAGTTGAGAAGTGGAGATTTAGGGGTGCAGGAATGTTGTGGGAATGGCCAGGAAGTGGTATGTAGAGGCCTGGTTCTAGGTGCAGGAATCATTTCTAAATGCAAGGTGAAAGTTACTTTACAGGGCCTAGCATCAAAGGAGATAATATGTATAAAGTACTTTGTAAACTTTAAAGTTCTTTATATAAATATTAACTGTTTGCTACTATGCAGTTTTTTTTCAGATGTTATCCAGCCATTTCCTTCTTCCTCTTCAATTCTGAGCACTGCTCATTAGTCACCTGCAGTGTCTGTCCCAGATATATGTATTAATATGTTCACTCAGGGGAATGGTCTTCTAGCTATACATAATAGGCTAGACAACAGGTATTTTTCGTTCATTTGGTTCTCCCTGTATGGATTGTTAAAGCGGTCTCCTGAGTGTGGCCCTCTTAACATTCTGGGTCTTGATGTAGTCAGCTCACTACCATCCACAAACAGAAGCATTAGAGCAGTCTGGCCAGCACTCGGTAATAATGTCTTATCCATTTGGACCTTGCTGCTCTCCAGTATGGTGTCAGATACCTTGCCTTGTTTGATGTCAGCAATCAGTTATTCACATGTTCATATTAATAAACAGATGTGTCTGTTACTTGCATTTATTAAAAACTCTTGTGTGATCTTAACGTAAATATGAATGATGCCTTGTTTTAAAAAAAAAACACTCAAAGCTTAAGATTTGTTTTTATTCTTTGCAGAAGATGGTATTTTTTGTGCTTAGAAAAACAGTGGGATCTTAGATTCTTTGTACCTTTCAGTCAGCTCTGACTATAAAGATGTGGCCTGCGAGTAGAGTCATTTATGACAGTCTTTCTATTTCCATTTCTCATTTTCACTAATGATATCCTTGATGTTTAAGTTATTCTCATAAAGGTAAGAAAGTATCTTTCTGTAGAATGGTGGGTAGTGAAGGTTTTTCATTTGCCTTTTTTTTCCCCATTTGTAACATGGCCTGCAGCCTTTTGTATCCTTTCTGGATTCTTCGATGCCCTGAGATAGCATGTAACTACTTCCAGGGTTGTGTCGCTGCCCAGAGTGGTTCTCCCCACTGTGAGGTATTCTGGTCCACTCACCCTGCCTGGCTCAGGTAGAATCTGACAGCCCATGAGATACTCAAAAGAGATCCTTGTTAAAGACGCTGACAGAGCCTACTCATTGGGTCTGATGATGCTCACTTGGATCTCACTCCGTACCTTGATCTTGTTCACAGTTTTCCTCCGTCCTCCTTGTAATGTCGCGTGAATTTGTCTTCCAAACCATTGTTACTGCCTTTTCCTGCCACACCCCTGTGCTTGGCAAAGAATCCCAGGCTTATAGGTTTAGAGATAGAGGACAGAGTGGAAGCCATCAAGCCCGAACTCTTCATTTTACAGATGAAGAAATTGAGGCCAGACAAGCCAAGTGTATTGCCCAAGGCCACAAAGAGTAATAGAGGTGGGATTCACACCCAGTTCTTCTGAAGTTGAATCCAGTTTTCTTTCTGTTGCATCATGCTCTTTGCTAGCTAAAGCATTTTATGGGTTTTGCACTTCTTGTTGCTTGTTGTATCCAGCATTAATTGACTCTCTTCTTCCTATATAAGAATGGACCGAGTTAGTAAGCCTTTCAGTGCCCCAAGCGACTCTTAGGATTATAAATTGCTGAATAGGTCTGAGATTTATAAGCAATCAGTAGTCCTTTAACCTCCTCGATTTCTCAGACCTGAGCCACAGTTTCCATTATGCTCGTCACCATCTTCCCCTATGCCCACCTTCATAGTTAAGGTGCCGAATGTCAAAATCATTGACTTTTTTGGGAGAGCTTGTCAAATTCTTCATACAGCATTTTTCTACCTTTTTATCCTCTCCAACAGATGCTGGAATGTAAGCTGCAGTTATCTTGGTGATCTTACTGCTTATTATCACTGCAAGAGACAGTGATCAGAAAATCTATACCCTGGTGTCTCTTCTTGCCTTTGGCCGTTTGAGAACAGTTCTGCCTACTCTTTGATTATCTCTTAACTGTGAATGTGCCTTCTTTTTGTTTCACATTCCTTTTTTCTTCTGTTTTTATTTTTTATTTCAAGAAGATACATCTTGATTTGATTTAGTTGTTCTAATAATATGTCAGTTCATTGGCCATCTTGCCAGAGAGCTCCCTCTTAGATAAAAGTGCTCAGGTTTAAGTTAATATTGATAGACTGTCCCAGAGCTATTTGTTAACTAATTCAGTCCTTCCTCTTCACCACACCACCATAGTTCCTTTCCAAGTGGGAAGGGGCTGTCTAGCACTGGTCTGGTTTTTTCTTTTGTTTCTTACTTTGATTTTTTAATTTCTTTGAGCTTGATCTAGGGGATTTCACTGGTATATATAAGGGAGGTCCCTTTACCAGTGAAGGTTGGTGACTTCTTGGCAAATTTACAGCCTTAGAGAGCTGCTTGAGGCCCTGAGAGGCCCAAATGACTTGCCCAGGGTCTTACAGCCGGGATGTGTCAGAAGTGGGCCTGGAACCCAGATTTTCTGGATTCACCTGTGCTTCTCTTATCTCTTAATGGTTTTTATTTAATGGTGATAACCAACATTTACATTATACTTTAAGGTTTGCAAAGCATTTTGCAAATAGCATCTCAGTGGTCAAAGTAGTTGACCCCTCTACTCATTGGAAAGGAAAATATCAAGGGTGAGGTTTTTTATTTAATACATTTGGGGTTAGAGATGCAGTTTGAATGTAATCAGTGGAAATAATGGCTAGTGGGTATGGACACATCAAATATATTTTCTTGCCTGTGGCATTGACAAGGGACATAGCAGATAAGATTTAAAATACTTCCAAGTTAAGTGAGCTGTCCTTCAGCTTCCCTTGGATGAATGAACTATAATAACTGTGCTCTGACAAAATATACATGGACAACATATAAAAGGAAAGCTAGCTGTGACATAACAAATTCATGGCCTGCCTCTGGGGCCCACCGCAAGTCCCCTAGTAGACTTTCTGAGTAGGAGCTGCTGAGTCAGCTGCTGATCTACACTGAGAGCACATTATTCTGATGAGACTACAGGTTCATGTTCTCTCCACTCTCCCCCTCTCCCCCCGCCAAAAAAACTATATAAAAATGTAGGCACAGTTTTTACTGTTGATGAAAATAGTCAAAACAAAAGAATACTTTATTATGCCTTGAAAGTAATATATAAAAATTTGTTGTAGTAGTGAACAGGACATCAGAATGAGAAGCAGGAGACCTGATTTTTTTCCCCCTATTCTATTAAATGACTTCCTGATTTTTGCCAGGTTACTTGAAGCATCAAATGTGTATGGAGAGTTTATTTGTCAAATGTAGATATTTCCTTATGCCCTATTTAACTATTTAAGGAATTCATGAAGTTTTACTTGCTTTTTAAAAATAATAATATAAGAGATTTTCAGCCTTTTGGAAATATCTATTCTATAATAAATGCTTGTTCACTTAATAATATCACTAACTTGTACAACATACATTTGATGATTACATGTATTAATTATAGGAATAGGCACATTGAAAATTAATTGTACTAAATGATGTTCTCGTATTACATGACAAATTTGTATTTATAACCTTGGCCAACACTTGATTATCTAGAAACTCACTATCTAGATTGTGGGTTTTTACTCTTATTAACTTTTTCTATGGAATTTTTTCCATCTAGTTTTCTAGTCACATTATATATATTCCTAGAAGAAGGAAGAAAAAGTAATAGTCCATTATGAAATTAGTACAAAAGAATGCTGAGAATAGAAAATAATTTTAACAGCTAAAATTATTTTGGATTGAATTTATTTTATTTATTTATTTTGGATTGAGTTGGCTGTTATATATTTAGCCAAATCACCACTCTGTGCACTCTTACTACTCATCAGAAAATGATAAGGCAGGGGTATGCTGGGAGAAGGACCAAAGTGATATGTGAGTTTAGCATCTCCTCATATATTTTTTATTTAGGAAGTTGCCAATCTTCCTAGTTTTTATGTTAGCTCTAGAGGGGAAAAAAAGAACATATGAAGTACCTAAGAAATGATTTGGTTTTTCTGTTTTTCAGGAATGGGCTTTGGAGACAGAACAAGCACATTTTGTGGCACTCCAGAATTTCTAGCTCCAGAAGTCTTGACTGAAACATCTTACACAAGAGCTGTGGACTGGTGGGGGCTTGGTGTGCTTGTATACGAGATGCTGGTTGGAGAGGTAAGCAGTGGTCAATAATGTGTCCTGGGTAGAAAAGAGAGTGCAACCAAAAAGCTTAGGTGCTTTAGCAAAAAATGAGAAATTAGCTTCCATACCTATTCAAAGCTCACCACAATTACCTCTAACGCTTTTGATGCCTGCCATGGTCTTTGCATAGGACACTGAGAATAGAGCAAGCAAGGCCTGGCAGCAGATAAGCAGCAGAACTAATTGAAAAGCCTTCATCAGAAATGAACACTAGCTGTCCTCCAAATCAGAAAGTCAACCTTAAGACAAAAAAACTCACAAAGTAATTCTTTTCTGTCTTTTATAGATTTTACATTTCTTAAAATTTCATGTACACATAGACACTCTTGCTATTTCTAAGTGCAAGATGTCCTAAATTTGTAAAACTATAAAATCCCAGTACCTTATCATGTCATAAATTTTTATTTTAAAGTTGGTTAGGTGAACTTTTCTGTCATGGTTCTTTAGTTCCTATCAGTAGGGGTTGGAGTAATTTTTAAAAATTGATCAGTTCCTGAAATGCAGTCCAACCCTTTTCCCTCCTAATCAATTCTGGGTTTAATTCATTTGTCCATTCCTATGTACTAGTAAACCACTTCTATGACTCTACAGCCTACTACTTATCATAGTCCAGACTGCAGTCATTCTTCATTCACTTATTATTAAGTATGATTAGTCAATCGATAAACATTTATTTTAAATGTCTGCTGTGTGGCAGGCACTGTGCTAAGCACTGGGAACACAAAAAAAGGCAAGACAGTCCCTGCCCTCAGGGAACTCCTAACCTGATGGAGGAGGCAACAAATATATACAAACAAACTATATGAAAGGTAAATAGGAAATAATTAAGAGAGAGAAGAGAAGGCACTGGAATTGAGGGGGATTGGGAAAGGCTTCTTATAGAAGATAGGATTATAGGTGGAATTTATAGGAAGCCAGGGAAGGCAGTGGTAGGAACTGAGGAGGGAAAACATTCCAGACCTGGGGGATGGTCAGAGAAAATGCCCAGAGCCAAGAGATAGAGGGTCTTGTTCAAAATCCAGGAGGCCAGCGTCACTGGATTGAAGAGGACGCCTCAGGAGTAAGATGTAAGACTGGACAGGTAGGAAGGGGCCAGGTGATGGAGGGCTTTGAATCCCAAACAGAGCATTTTATATGTGATCCTGGGGACCCAGTGGGGTTTATTAAGGGGAGAGGGGTTGACTAAGGTCAGAGCTTCGTTTTTAGTAAAATCACTTCAGTGGTCGAATGGAGGATGGGTTAAAGTGGGGAGAGACTGGAGGTAGGTAGACCCATCAACAGGCTATTGCAGTAATCCAGACGTGATGAGGGCCTGCACCAGATGGGTGGCAGTGTCAGAGAAGAGAAGGAGGTATATCCAAGAGATATTGCAGTGTTGAAATTGACAGGACTTGGCAACAGCTTGGATCTGGGGTGAGAGATGGTGAGGAGTTGGTGATGACTCCCAGCTTGCGAGATTGAGGGACTGGGAGGATGGTGAAGCTACAGTAATAGGCGGGGCAGCTAGGGGGTGCAGTGGGTAGAGCTCTGGCCTTGGAGTCAGGAGGACCTGAGTTCAAATCTGGCCTCAGACACATAACACTCACTAGCTGTGTGACCCTGAGCAAGTCACTTAACCCCATTGCCCCATTAAAAAACAAAACAAAACAAAGCAAAAATACAGTAATGGGGAATGTTGGGGGTGGAGGAAGATTTTAGGGGGATGTCTACTGGACATCCAGTTCAAAAACAGCTGGAGATACGAGATTATAGATTTGAGAATTGTCAGCATAGAATTCTTTAGTGATTATATATCTCATTTAGGAGGCTCTATTCATGTTCCAGGGCTTACTTAAATTAAGTAAATATTTATTTCTACTATGTACAAGGTCAGAAAATCTAAACTTCCTGCATTCTACTGAGGAGATACATTTTCATAAGTAAATAAAGTACAATTATTTTCTAAAGTAAATACAACATAAATTATATAGAAGATAATTTTAAAAGGGAGAGATTGCTAATCACTGCAGGGAAGGGAGGGCAGGAAGGTATAAGGGAAGGCCTTTTGTAGGAGGTGGCACTTCCTTTGTAGGATTTGCTTGGAAAGAAACTAGGGACTTTGCAAGGGGGAACTGAAAAGTGAGTGCATTTGAGACTTGAAAAGGCAGTGTGCCTTGTACAAAGGTATAGGGAGGGGAGGAGAGTAACGTCCTTCATGGAGAACAGCTGTAGTAGTGGGCCACTTCATGTAGAATGGAAAGTATGTAAAAGGAAGTAACAAGAAATAATGAAGGAAAGATAAATGGGACTCAGACTGTAGACAGCTTTAAATTTACCATTTGTGTTTCATCCTAAAGGCCATTGGGGGTGGGTGACATGTCAGAACTGTTTTTTAGCAATATCAGCTCGGAATTTGAGTACAGGATAGATTCAAGAGGTGGGGAGATTAGGTATAGGGAGAGCAATTAGAAGACTGTGGCAGTAATCCGGACAAGAAGTAATAAGGTTTGGTTTTTTTAATTTTTAGGCAATTGGGGGTTAAGTGACTTGCCCCAGAGTCACACACGCTAGTAAGTGTCAGATTTGAACTTAGGTCCTCCTGACTTCAGGGCCAGTGCTCTATCTACTGCACCACCTAGCTGCCCCAACAAGAAGTAATAAGGGCCTAAACTTAAAGGAAAGGGAAGAGTGCAAAAGATGTCATGGATGTTCAACATGCTTCAGCAGCTGATTAGATGTAAGGGTTAAGGGAGAGGGAAGAGTCACAGGGTGATTCCAAGGTTGCAACCTTGAGTGACTAGAAAAATGCTGGCTAGTACCATCAACAAGGTAGAAGGAGTGGTCCTGTACCTGGTCTTCCCTTGACTTGAGGGGCTTTGCAAGAAAATTAGTTATGTCTTAGACATGTAGAGTTTGTGAACTGCCTGTGTGACATTCACATAGAGGATGCCAATAGACAGTGATACGGGACTGGAATCCTAGAGAGAGTTGGTCAAGAGAGAGAGATTTGGGGGTGGTGTGCATAGGGATGCTGACTGAACCCGTAAGAGTTAAAGAGCTGACCAAGACAGGCTCCCTTTAGTAGACAGAAGAAGGATGAGCCAACAGAGAGAATGAAACAGAGTATAGAGCCACATGGAAGAACAAAGAGAGAGCATGAGCACAATGTCTGGTAGCCAAGAGAGGAGCGAATAATCAGCAGCCTCAGTAACTGTGGCAGAAACCAAGCGAAATGAGGCCTGACTGACTGAGGCTATTGGGTTCAGCAGTTGAGATTGTTGATTACCTTGGAGAGAGAAATTTCATTCAAGGGGTAGGGCCAGAAGCCAGATTTAAAGGAATTGATAAGTGAGTAGGAAATAAAGAAACCTTTGGGCAGCAAAAGCGGGCAAGAATAGTGACTTGGCATAATAGCACGGGCAAGTGAATTTGTTAGGATCTAAGAAGACCTAGCATAGGCCTAAAGCTTTTGGAAAGAGACCTCAAAGGTCATCTTGTCTAGGCAATCCACAAGTACATACTATGTTCCTGTTCTAGGTGCTGTACTAAGTGAAGAGAGGTCAAGAAAGATTCAGATTGAGAAGAGACCATTAATTTGGGCAGCTGAAATTGTTTTTAACTATGGAGAGAATACTTTCTGTTGAGTGAGATTGGAATACTGCCAGCAGAGAGCGGAAGAGAGAGAGCAAATGGAGACTCTGAATGTAGACGGTATCAAGGAGCTTGTTGAATAAGAAAGGGAGAAGAGATGCAAGAGAGATGAGAATCCTAAGAGCTAATGAACTTTTAAGGGTAGAGGAGAGTCAGGCATATTTATAGGTAACAGGGAAAGAACTAATTAGATAAGAAGAGGCTAAAGATTAGAGAGAGGTGAGATGATATTGGGGACAGTGTGTCTGCTGGGAAGGCAGAAGGGATGGAATGAAGGGTATATGTATTGGAAAGCCCATCTCTTCCCCAGAAACTGGAGTTAAGATAGGAATAGGGAAGTAGCTAGGGAGGAGGAGGGAAGAGGAAGCCCAGAGTGAATGACTTTGCTAATCCAAATCAAGGTCTTCAGCTGAGAGAAGGGTGAGAGATTGCTGTGGAGGCTTGAGAAGAGGAGATAGTTTGAGATAGATACTGTGGGGAGTGGGACAGAGAATCAATTAAGGAGGAGGTGCAAGGGTTGCCTTGGTGCATGGAGGACCCACTTGAGATTAGAGAACATAAATGCGTAATGGACCCAGTAAGCACAATTGCATGATTTCTTATGTCTCTGTTTAGCAGCATATGATTTGAAGCAGAAAACATGGTTGATGAGAGTATGGGGTGACCAAGCATGACCAGTGATAGGATAAAAAAGCAAAAGATTTGAGAGGATAAGATAGATAGTTGGGAGATAAACTGTCATACACGAAGTGGTTGAGATTAGGAAGAAAGGAAAATATGGCCAGAGCAGGGACATTAGGCTGGCAAATGACTGAGGAGTAGAGGGAATGGAAGTCATATGGAATAGAAGACATTTAAAAAAAAAGTTTTAGGAGGGGAATAAGGTAGAGAGAACAATAGGAAATCATAATCGTATAAAGAAATCTCATGGAAATCGAGCACTTGTGGGTGGAGACAAGATCATTGGTGTTACCACCCTCCTGACTCCCCCTGAAATGGCATGGAAGAGGTCATAATAGCTGAATAGACTGAAAAACTGGGAGGTGAGGGTGTGTGAAGGAACATAATGGAGGGGTTAGAAGTTGGAGTAGCAAGGGAGGTTGGTGAGCCAGGAAAGGGAGTTCTTGAAAAAGTAGGAATAGATGGTGTCTGAATACAGACTGAAGCATACTGTTTTTCACTTTTTTTTCTTTTTTTTTCTTTTTTTTAGTTCAAGTTTTCTTCCACAAAATGAGCAATGTGGAAATATCTTTCTCATGCTGCACATGTGTAACGTATCAGATTGCTTACCATCTCAGGGAGGGGGGAAGAAAAGGAGAGAGAGGGAGAATTTGGAGCTCAAA